CCTTGCCCGCCTCGTGGCGTGTCGGGTCCCCGAGTCTTGTGAGGGCTCGAGGCAGCCGTCACCCCGGGAGCTTGCGCAGCCCCTCGGGCGCACTGGGAGGGGGTGGCGCGGCCCGCGGCTGGTCGAGAGGGCGCAGGGGTCCGTGGAGGAGGGGACAGCGGCTCGCAGGTGTTACCCGGAGGGACCTGGCTGGGAGGACCTGGAGCGGAGGGCGGCGGCGCGGGCGGTGTGGCCAGCCGGGAGGGACGGGCCGTCGGGGAACGGAGTCGGCCACTCGCCGTGCGCCCTTGGCACAGCTCCGCAGCCCGTCGGGTCCTGAGCTGGCCGCAGGTGTCAGCCGCTCGCCCCGTGCGCCCGGGGCCCGCCAGGCGCGTATCCAGCAGCAGCGGCAGGAGTGACCTTTTACGCGTGGAATCTCTTCCACGGCCTCTGCCGGAGTCCCCAGCCCGCCTGGCCTCCCTGCTGGCCCCTCCTCGCCCCTTCGCCGGCCGCGGCTCCAGTGCCTCCTGCCGCGGGAGCTGCCCGCGCGCCCCGCGGTCCTCAGGTCTTCCCGCGCTGTCCCTTTCCTCACCCACTCCTTGCTCTCATGCCCCTCGACCAAGGAGGGCGCGGCGGCCCGAGGCTGCAGGACAGAGTGGCTTCGCTCCGTGGCTTCGCTCCTTGCGCTCCGCGCGGTCACTTCATCTCGGCGTAGCCGGGCGGGCTCTGGGGCCTGGCGCGTCTGCCCCCTGGAGGGCGGCGACCCTGCCCTGTGTGCCACTGCGTCCCTAGCACCTAAGCTGCCTTTCTGATGGCGGCGGCTGCAGCAGTGGGTGATGCAGGTACGCGGGTCAGAGGTGAAGGACCAGGAGGAAGCGAAGGGGAAGCGGCTGGAACAGGGGACACTGGAGGGACACAAAAGTTGAGGTGAGAAACTGAAGCCTGGCTCCGCTAACGTGGACCTCGGCAGGTCACTGATTCTGCTTCGCGCTCCTTTCTTGGGGTCCCCGGGAGACCTACTGGGACAAGTCAGCACTGAGTTCAGTGGCAGGAAGGAGGGCCCGAGAGGGGCGGCCTCAGAGACCTCCCTGGTACAAGTCTCGGGCTCTCCTGCCTGCGGTCCTGCTGTGAGCGTGGTTCAGTCTCAAAGACCAGTTTGACTCCCTGGGAGCCCGGATCACCGAGGCAGGTGTGCAGGGTGTGTGCGCTGGTGTCCCTGGCCGCCTGCTGCCCTGCAGTGCTGGCTCCTCCCTGAGCGCAGCGCAGTGTCTGGGGCTCGTCATCTCAGAAATGCCCAGCGCAGGCCTGTCACGGACACACCAGACACCAGGTTTGTCTGTTTATTTGTTTTATTTTTTATTTTTTTGAGTTGGAGTCTCACTCGGTTGCCCAGGCTGGAGTGCAGTGGCCGCTCCCGGCCACCGCAGCCTCGACCTGCTGGGCTCCGGCGATCCTTCCGCCTCAGCCTTCCGAGTAGCCGGAATTACTGGTGCGCGCTACCACGCCTGGCTGATTTTTTTGATTTTTTGTAGAGATGAGGTCTCGCTGCCCAGGTGAGTCTCGAACCCGCGGGCTCAAGCCTCCCAAAGGCGCGGGATTACAGGCTGAGCCACCGAGCCTTGCTTGTCTGTTTGAGTCGGAGTCTCACTCTGTCGCCCAGGCTGGAGTGCAGTGCCACGCTCACGGCCACCACAGCCTGGACCTGCTGGACTCAGATCCTTCTGCCCCAGCCTTCCAAGTAGCTGGAACTAGAGGCTCTCGCTACTGCACCCAGCTTGTTTCTTGATTTATTGTAGGGATGAGGTCTCACTAAGTTGCCCAGGCTGGTCTCGAACCCCTGGGCTCAGGCAATCCTCTCACCTCGGCCTCCCAAAGTGCTGGGATTACAGGCTTGGGCCACCGCACCTGGTCCTATCAGGCTTTTAAAAATGGTTTGACTTCCCACATGCCAGGTTTTGTGTTTAAAGTGAATTTGATCTGAAGCTAAACCGTGCCGCTTTCATTAAAACTTGTCAGGCACTTGCGTTTCCTTGGAAGGGCTAAAGGCTGAGAATGATTGTGGTGTCTCTGCTTTAAAGTGGCGGCAAGTCATTTTGGGGAAAGCGACTCATGATGGCAGAGGCGGCGAGAGGCTGGCACAGCAGGTGTGCTGTCCGTCCACCCTGGTGGGCAGTGTGGGGAGGCACTCTGGCAAAAGCCTGAGGACACAGAACAAACAAGAGCAAGTCCCAAAGGCCAGCGGAGACTTGGCCGCTGGGTTGCGGGCAACCTGCTCAGCTCGTGGGACAGGGACCCAGGCTGGGGGGCGAGTGGGGGTGGCCCCGCTCAGGCGGCTCTCTCTTTGCAGGGACTTGCCATGTTCCGCAGGCTGGGCTGGCTGGTCCTATACAGCCTTGCTGCACTGCTGCTCAGCTGCCTGCTCTTCTTGAAGAGGGAGGCCAAGCCCGCAGGGGACCCCACAGCCCGCCAGCCCTTCTGGGCTCCCCCCGGGCCCCGCCACAGCCAGTGTCCACCCAACTACACAGCGGCCGACGCCTCCCTGTCCCTGCCTGCCCGTCACCGCCTCTTTCTGACATACCGCCACTGCCGAAACTTCTCCATCTTGCTGGAGCCTTCAGGCTGTCCCAAGGACACCTTCCTGCTCCTGGCCATCAAGTCACAGCCTGGACACGTGGAGCGGCGAGCAGCCATCCGCAGCACCTGGGGCCGGGCTGGAGGCTGGGCTAGGGGCCGGCAGCTGAAGCTGGTGTTCCTCCTGGGGGTGGCGGGAGCCACGCCGCCAGCCCAGCTGCTGGCCTATGAGAGTGCGGAGTTTGATGACATCCTCCAGTGGGACTTTGCCGAGGACTTCTTCAACCTGACGCTCAAGGAGCTGCACCTGCAGCGCTGGGTGGTGGCGGCCTGCCCCCAGGCCCACTTCATGTTAAAGGGAGATGACGACGTCTTTATCCATGTCCCCAATGTGCTGGAGTTCCTGGACGGCTGGGACCCAGCCCAGGACCTCCTGGCGGGAGAGGTCATCCACCAGGCCCTGCCTAGCAGGAACACCAAGGTCAAGTACTTCATCCCGCCCTCCATGTACAGAGCCCGCCACTACCCACCCTATGCTGGGGGTGGAGGATATGTCATGTCCAGAGCCACCGTGCGGCACCTCCAGGCGGCCATGGAAGAGGCCGAACTCTTCCCCATCGATGACGTCTTTGTGGGCATGTGCCTGAGGAAGCTGGGGCTGAGCCCCACGCACCACACTGGCTTCAAGACATTTGGAATCCGGCGGCCCCTGGACCCCTTGGACCCCTGCCTGTACAGAGGGCTCCTGCTGGTGCACCGCCTCAGCCCTCTGGAGATGTGGACCATGTGGGCGCTGGTGACGGATGAGGGGCTCAAGTGCGCAGCTGCCCCCAGATCCCAGCTCTGAGCCTCTCGAGAGTGGACTGACTCATGTTGATTTCCTGCCATGAGAAATTGCTCCTTGCTGGTCTACAGGAAATGCTGACTTTGTTTCTGTAACCCCTCCCATCTTGTTAGCGCTGATTAAAAACACTGAAACCAACTTGTCCAGCATGTGCTGAATGGGAGCCAGATCACAGCAAAGGCTGCCGGGAACCTATGGGGAGATTCCTGGAGCCACCTGGGGCTCTGCCAGTCGGGTATGAAAGAGGGAGGCTGCTAGGGCTCTTGAAGACAAACCTTTTCTTTCTACGTGCAAGAAAACTTATTCTTCTCTGGATACGGTAGAGACACACAAAGGAAAAGAAGGAAACGAGAGGCATGTGTTAGAATAGTCTTGTTGAAAGCACCAGGTAAACACTCTGCATTCATCCCATTAATAATAGACTTCTGACTCCTTGGCCTGAGCTGTGCTTTACAGGGCCAGATCAGAGAAGGCATTAGAAACACTCAAAAAAAACCTTTCAAACTGGACAGGCTCCTGTTCCTCAAACCTCACATCTCTGCAGAGGGAACAAATACTAAATCATATTTGAAAATGTGAATAAAATTGAAAACAGGTTAAACAGCTACAGGGCATGACAAAAAAAGGACCCCGCTCTCTGGCCCAGGCTGGCGAAATATTTTGGGTGTGAGGTAAAAAGATCAGTGGGTGAGAGAGCAGCTGTGCAGAGTGGAGTGTGATGCTAAACAGGGTGCCCAGCTCAAGGATAAGAAGCCTGAGACCACAGGGGGAGGGCCCAGGCACTCCCAGCTCACAAAGGCCCTGGCCTGGTTGGCAGGACTCTTGTGCAGAGAGTAGTGCTTGGGCCGAACAGCATCCGCCCCCGCCTCTCCCTCCCGGCAGGCAGGAAGGGCAGCGGGCTCAGGCCCTCAATCCTCCCGCAGGTAGGCCTCCGGCTCCGGCTCAGCCTGCTCGTCTCCTTCCTCCTGGATTTTCTGACGGAGCTCTTTCGTCTGTGCTTCTGCCAGCTTGGTTTCTGCTTTCTGGGAGAGCTGGCGCACCTCCTGCACCTGCAATTTCACCAGCTGAATGTGATTCCTGGCGGTTATAGAGGCCTGATCGGCTCCTGCCAAAAGACAGACAATTGAGCCAAGCAGATGAGCAAGGGAGACGATACACATGGACACAAGGAAAGCCTGGAGTGCTGTGGTTGTCATCTGAGCCCCTCCTGGGGTCACTTTCCCTGACTTTGCTGCCTGCCTTGCATGTAACTAACCACTTCATTGCCAAAAACCCTAGTATTTTTCTTCAGCCATCAGCCGCTAATGTTATAATTACTAAATGCAATTTCCACAAGCATCTTTATAGCTACACAGTTCTTAGTATAGACCTTTTATTAATTTTTTAACTAAACAGATCATCCATTTCTTTCTGACAGATTAAAAGATCACTAATAAAATTGTCAAAGATTCCTTTTATCAACCTGCCCAATCTTCAGAGGTAATCTCTTTTGGGATTTTTGGGGTATCTTTCTCATCTTTCAAAATGTGACTATATACATGTGGAACACACATAAAAATATTTTGTTACTATATATAACAGCATGAAAAATATCTAACATATTTTGTGATTTTACTTTTCATTTTTAAATGATAGTGTTTTGAGCACTATCATTTTACCTGCTGCTACTGTATTTCATCATCTGGGTATGCTCTTTTTTTTTTGAATTGCAGTCTCACTCTGTCCACCCAGACTGAAGTGCAGTGGCACGCTCACGGGCACTGCAGCCTCAACTTGCTGGGCTCAGGCGATCCTTCCGCCTCAGCCTTCCAAGTAGCTGGGACTACAGGCCCATGACACCATGCCCAGCTTTTTTTTTTTGTAGAGAGCAAGCAATCCTACTGCCTCGTCCCCCCAAAATGTAGGGATTACAGGCACGAGCCAACATGCCAAGCCAAAAACTCCACATCTATAACAGCCCTTTCTGATGTTACTTTTGCTCTCTGTAAAAAGAGCAAAATCTTGCCAAATCTTTGCCTATATATATATATATATATTTTTTTTTTTTTTGAGTTGAAGTCTCACTCTGTCGCCCAGACTGGAGTGCAGTGGCCGCTCCCAGCCACCGCACCCTCGACCTGCTGGACTCCAGCGATCCTTCTGCCTCAGCCTTCCAAGTAGCTGGAACTACAGGTGCGTGCTACCACGCCCGGCTAATTTTTGATTTATTGTAGAGATGAGGTCTTGTCAAGTTGCCCGGGCGGGTCTCAAACCCGCGGGGTCAGGCAATTCATCACCTCGGCCTCCCAAAGCGCAGGATTACAGGCTGAGCCACCGAGTTCAGCTGCCTATTTTTTTTTTTTAGTCTTTTCAAGGAAGCAGATTTTTGTCTTTCTAATAAACTATTATTTAATTTCTTCTTATACCTTTTACTTTTTTGTTTTGTTTTTTTCTTGATTTCACTTTTTTGATAGTTTACTTTGTGTGTGTGTATATATATATATATATTTTAATTTTTATTTTTTTTGAGTGAGAGTCTCACTCTGTTGCCCAGGCTGGAGTGCAGTGGCACGCTCATGGCCACTGCAGCCTCAACCTGCTGGGTTCAAGTGATCCTTCTGCCTCAGCCTTCCAAGTAGCTGGAACCACAGGTGCGCACCATCACACCTGGCTAATTTTTTGATTTATTGTAGAGATGAGGTCTTGCCATGTTGCCCAGGCTGGTCTCGAACCCATGGGCTCAAGCATCTGCCTCCCAAAATGCTGGGATTACAGGCATGAGCCACTGAACCCAGCAGTATATTTTGTGACATTGAGTATTATCTGTCACTCATGGTCTTTGCATTTATGACATAGGAATTTATAGGTGTAGATTTCTCTTTAAGAGCTACTTTTGTCTACAACCCCCTGCTATACACTGCACTTGTCATCACAGTTTGAAATATTTAAACATTTTCATTTAAATTTCTTCTCTAGCCTGTGTTTTTTAAGAAGCATATTTTTGAATGTTATAGATGTAAGGAACTTTTTTACTGAGTTGAAGGTCAGTTAATGTGGTATCAATTTTTTAAATGATTTTGTTGTCTTCCTTTGTCACCCGGTACAAAATTAGTTTTGTGTCTTAGAAGAATATGTATTTTTCTCACTCATAAGCGGACCTTGAGCAATTATCATAATACTATAAAAAGGAATTGGGAGTAGTGGGAAACTGCCAGGGGAGGGAGGGACACACCTCATCAACAAGGGTACCTGCATAATCAACATTTGTATACCTAACACTGAATTGTACCCCACAGCTTTAAAATAAATAAATAAAAGGATATGTATTCTTTAGGGAGGAGAGGGCAGGGCAAAGTTTTATATTTGGTATATATATTTGGTCAAGTTTTAAAAAATTATTCTGTCCCAATCCTTCACAGCTTTTTTTTTTGTGTGTGTCTTCTGGATCTGTGAATCTCTGAGATGTGTGTAAAATTCAATTTCTTATAATTCTATCAGTTTTTGCCTTAGTAAGTACACATCTCATGATTGATATTATCTTAATGGGTGGTTCTTTGTCTCACTGTTTTTTGCCTTGCAGTCTTTCTCTTATTTCTAACATTGGTCTATTAGCCTTTTGGGGGTAGCATTCTGTTAAGAGAATTCTTACTTACTTATTAATTTAATTTAATTTTTTTGAGTTGGAGTCTCACTCTGTTGCCCAGGCTAGAGTGCAGTGGCATGGTCACGGCCACCGCAGCCTTGACCTGCTGGACTCAGGTGTTCCTTCCATCTCAGCCTTCAGGCGCTCGCAACCATGCCTGGCTCATTTTTTGATTTATTGTGGGACAAGTTGCCCAGGTTGGTCTCGAACCCCTGGGCTCAAGGCAATTCTCTCACCTCAGTCTCCCAAAATGCTGGGATTACAGGCTTGAGCCACTGCACTCAGTCTTATTTTTAATTATTATTATTATTTTATGAGTTGGAATACCACTCTGTTGCCCAGGCTGGAGTACAGTGGCATGCTTATGGCCATTGCAGCCTCAACCTTCTGGGCTCAGGTGATCCTTCTGCTGCAGTCTCCCAAGTAGCTGGAATTACAGGTGTGCACCTCCACACCCAGCTAAATTTTTTGATTTATTGTAGAGATGAGATCTTGCCAAGTTTCTCAGGCTGATCTCGAACGCCTAGGCCCAGGCAATCCTCTCACCTCAGCCTCCAAAGTACTGGGATTACAGGTGTGAGCCACTGTGCCTGGCCTAGAATTATTTTACTGAACTATGTCATTGAACACAATCTAAAAGTGTCATGTAATAACTTTATTCTTATCGCAATTACTGATGTTTGAACTTACTCCTAGAATTTTGTACTTTCTAATTAACAGGCTTTGTTTCTCTTTAAACCTTTTCTGCTTGTTTCCCTGTAACTAAAACTCTTCATAGTGTTTTACAATATATAATGTTAAGTCAATGTGCTTAGTGTGGTTTCCCTTCTTCCCCAAACTTGATTATTTACAAACCCTGTTTTATACTCAGAGCTTTTGAGAAGTTTTACTCAATTTTGTTCGTTATTCATAGATCTTAGTTATTTCTTTCTAAACTGATTTTTCCTTTTTCACAGTTTTTCCAGAAAGTGTATGCAGGTGGTAAACTTTCTGAATCTCTATAGGTTTGAAAATATCTTTCATTCTCAAAATTTTTTTTTGAATCTGAGTCTCACTCTGTCACCCAGGCTGAAGTGCAGTGGCATGCTCATGGCCACCACAGGCCACCTACTGGGCTCAGGTGATCCTTCTGCCTCAGCCTTCCAAGTAGCTGGAACCACAGGCATGTACCACCACACCCTGCTAATTTTTTGATTTATTGCAGAGATGCAGTCTTGCCATGTTGCTCAGGATGGTCTTGAACTCCTGAACTCAGGCAATCCTCTCACCTCTGCCTCCCAAGTGCTGAGATTGCAGGTGTGAGCCACTGCGCCCGGCTCATTCTCACATTTTAATGATACTGGCTACATATAAAATTCTAGGTGATTGATTTATTGTCACCTGTAGTGTTTCTGATAAGAATACTGATGTTTGATTTGGCTTCATTTGAAAGTAATCCAATTTTTTTTCCATAGTAGTTTTTAGGACTTTTTTCTGAATCTTTTTATTATGGTTTTACTTAAAAATCAAAATTCTGTTCAGAACTTTTGTGAGCCCTTTCAATCACTTCTGGGGAAAATGTCTATTTTTTTCAAATGATGCTTATACATCCTCTCCCTTTTTTCTTCTTCTAGATCTAAGGCTGCACAGGCAAGTGGGGGAAGGATGCCTGGGGAGGTTCTTGATGCCATATCTCAGCACATCTCCCTCCTCACTGCACCTGGGAACCCTGCTGCCACCTTGGTGTGGTACTATTATGCTGCTGCCTTCATACTTCTGTTGTTTCACTGTTCTAATTCTGTTGTCAGAATCTCTGCTGTCTCTGGTTCACTAAGAATTCTGTTTTTCAATATGGTTACACAGCATTCATTTATTTTTTTTAAAAAAAATCTCTGTATCACTTTTAAGATTTGATGTTGTAACCCCAGTCTGTTACCTTGAAATCAGAAAACAAAAATGTTTTAACATACCAGTCTTTATAAACGCTACTCCTAGGTTATAATTTCTATGAGCCTGTCTAGTCCGGGACCAGTCAGGTAAGACTGTTAAATTTTTCCTCAAGATATATTTAAAACTACTCAGTTTAGGCTTAAAAAAACCACCTTGGTGAATAACTACATTTTCTATGTTGGGGCACTAAGGTGCAGAGGACAAAGTCCTGGCTTCCAGGTGGAGCAAAGGCTTTAGAAGTCAACCTACTCAGCTGAATCTTAGTTTGGCTGCTTACTTACCATACCATAGCATCTTAGGTCAATTACTTAACCCATCTGTCCCCAGTTTCTTCACTTATAAAGTGGTAATGATAATAATAGCTCCCCCTTTAAAGGAACTATGGGGATTAAAAGAGCCTATGAAATGCTTGTCACAAAGCCTGCAATAGACAAATAACACTGACTGTGATTCCAAGTCCCATTTTCTCAAACCTACAAAAAAGGTTCACATAGACTGATGATCTCAAGTGTCATCCAACTGTCATTCTAAGATTAACTGTTAATACATTGAACTACAAATAAAATGCTTAAATTATTTGGAAGCAATCAGTTTTTTAATGGCAATAGTTTTATCATTCTTCATTTTCTAGATATTGACAACTTGGCTTCTTCTGGTCTGGTCTACAGGGGTGCACCCATTTTTTTCTATTGTGCAAATAAAATACTGGTTAATATATTGGAAATGGGGAAAATTTCTCACAGGGTTAGAGCTGCACACACTATCTACCATAAAGCCCTCATCTCAGAACTAGATGAGAAACTCAAATGGTACCTTCCTAGCAAAAACAAACTTTAACTCACCAGTTTGGTAGGCAGCTTCTGCTGCCATCTCTGAAAGACCAACTGCAGTCATCCACGTGGTTTCCAGCTTCAAATATTCTTGTTGTTTTGAAGTCATCTGTAAGTTGAGCAAAGTGCTTCAGATAATGTGAAGAGGTTTAGCCCGCTTAAATTGACTTATTCAAAATAATAGATTTAGAGCACAGTTACTGGTTATATTGGTCAGACTTCATTCAAAAATTTAGGTACCACAATGAGATAGGAGAACTCATACAGAAATGCCAATAATTTTTTGCTTACCTCAACTCTGGCTCCTATGATCACCTGCCATACTTCATCTTCCTCTTGTGAATTCATTTTCCCAAGTAAACTTGTATATTGTCGGTACAGAGAAATTAAGGTATAAACAGCCTACAAATATAGAATATATAAGTCTGAGTAAAATAAGAGGTATTTTGAAAGACTAGAGAGATTTTCTACTCGAGAAGGCAAAGTCCCATCAAAGCAAACTTGTTCAGTCCTTCTGCTTCACTGAAGTTGTCCTACTGTCATATGAAGTAACAGCATCACTGCAGGACAGTATCTCAGCTCAGGCTTAAAAAACACCTGTAAACTTCATTGTTTTTAAAAGTTTATTAACAATTCAGACATAGAGAACACAGTGCAAGGGAAAACTCTACAGTTTGAGAAAAAAGCTGCTGGGAAATAAAGGTAAAATAAATATACAAATGAGACTTTTAAATGATTTTTATTTTGATTATCCACATACTCTTTCTACTAGCTCAGATTAGTGTTTCTTAAACAGTCCTCACAGGGAAGTCTCTGGTGACGGACTTTGGGCCTCTTTAGCTCTAACTTAACCAAATCAGCTTGGCTCCTATTTTATATGCTGGGCTGCCATATTTAAGATTTTTCAGTAAAAAGGGAGTTCCTGGAAAAAGTCCAAAAATCAGTTATTTAGGCCAGAGCTCAGCAAACTTTTTTTTTTGGTCAAGGGCCAGACAGTAAATATTTTAGGCTTTGTAGCTGTATAGCCTTTGCTGAAACTATTTAAACTCTCAAAGACATTATGTAGACAATATATAAACAAATGAGCCTGGCTATGTTCCAATAAAATATGAACACAAGCATCAGACCCGATTTGCTAAAACATGATTTAGAAGATCAAGGGTTAACAAGAACATACCTTAGTATATTCAGTGATAGCTTCGATCAATGCATATGTAGTTTGAGAGAGAAAAGTAGAGGTGCTATCTGTTACCAAAGAAACTGCTCTCCTCATTAATGCTTCGTTACTAAGAGAATGAGGCTCCGATTTCTGAAAGACAGAAATATTGTCAATCAACATCTAACCTAAAGCTCAAGCTGAGAACTTTGTCACAGACCATCAGGTAACAAACATAATTCTCATACTGCTTAGTGTTTAAAGCTGCAACTGTTCTGTATACTTCTTTGGGTTAAAACAGAACTTAAGACTTTATTTTGGCAATTTAAGACAATATAGGGAAATAATTCCTAGTATGCTTTCTATCTACTTTCATTCTCTACTCCAGAGAGCAAAGTATTTCTTCATATAAAATGCTAACAATTATAACCACCAAATTCATGAGATTCCAACTCCAATCATTATTTTGAGGCACAAAAATAAACAAGACATAGTCTCTGCTCTAAAAGGTTTCAGACAGGGGCAGGGATAGGAAGATGATAGGGACTCACAGAGTACTAGAAAAATGAATGCAACCAAGTATCCGGAGCTGTGGCAGAAGTCTTTATGGGTACACATAAGGGAGCAATCAATTCTGTGTTGAGTGATAATAGTTTAGAAAAACCTTCATAAATTTAATGAGGATTAAGCTGAGGTTAATAAAGTAAATGGGTAGATGGGAGAGGGCAATTCTGAGCAGTACAGTATTGGTGGGGGCACTCTTTACTCTGACCTCAGCTATTATGTTAAAAAGAAAAGACCACTATAACTACCTCAAGAGTTAAGGGACTGTGGCCACCTCGACTAAATGCTGGCGACGCAGTTCATCAATGACTCTGCCTTTTTCCTCCTAAGCAGAGCTCTTATATCAGAACCAACAAAGAAATCAATTGCTCTGTTCTGTCTTGTTTTGCTATTTAGAGTGTAAACACTCAGAATCACTGCATGTTGAAAGCCGCAGTCAAGAAATATTTTTGATATATGGACAAATCAAGAATTTTATTTATCATCGCTGGGTACAATAGCTCCCACCTGTAATCCCAGCACTTTGGGAGGCTGAGACAGAGGATTGCCTAAGACCACAGGTTCGAGACAAGCCTGGGCAACATAGTATGACCTCGTCTCTACAATCAATCAAAAAATTAGCCAGGCCTGGTGGTGCATGCCTGTGGTTCTAGCTCCTTGGAAGGTTGTGGTGGCCCTGAGTGTGCCACTGCATTCCAATCTGGGCGACAGAAGGAGACTCCAACTCAGAGAAAAAAGTTATTTATCATTTCATTCAATCAGTTATTTAGTATTCATTATGTACCCTATACTGTAGGGCTACAAAGGAAAGAATGACATTATCTCTGGTCACGACAAGCCAATTTTGACATAACATTCTGATAACTTATGTCTTCACAATGTGCCACATTTTTTTTTTTTTTGAGTTGGCATCTTACTCTGTGGTCCAGACTGGAGTGCAGTGGCACGCTCCCGGCCACTGCAGCCTCATGCTACATTTTACAATGCATTTTCACTTGTTCCTCAAAACAACAACCCAGGTATTATTCACTTCTTTTTTTTTTTTTTTTTTTTTTTACAGACAATGAAATGGAAGCTCAAGCTGGATGCTGTGGCTCATGCCTATAAACCTACCACTTTGGGTGGCTGTGATGGAAAGCCTGCTCAAGGCTAGGAGTTTGAGTCAGCCTGGGCAACATATCAAGACACTGCCTTTACACACACACAAAAAAGAGCCAAGTGTGGTGGTATGCACCTGTAGTCCCAGATACTTGGGAGGCTGAGGCAGGAGGATCACATGAGCCCAGGAGTTGGGAGACTGTGAGAGCCTTGATTACATAACTGCACTTCAGACTAAACAGCCCTGTTGAAGGAAGCAAGAAAGGAAGGAAGGAAAGGAAAGGAAGAACAGACAGAAAGGGAAGGAAGGAAAGGGAAGAAAAGAAGGGAAGGGGAAGGAAAGGGAGGGAGGGAAGGAGGGAAGAGGAAAGGAAGGACGGAGAAAGAAATGGAAGCTCAAAATGGTTATATAACTTTCCCAAAAAGTCACATCTAGACCTCAAACCAAATCTCACTCCCAAGTCTGTACTGTTTCCATTATGCTCTGCCGACTCAGGAAAGTGCCAAAGGGATTATCAGGAAATATCAAAATATACAATATTAAATGGCCAGAAGAGAGGAGATGATTGTTGGCCAGGTATTAAGAAAGGCTTTAAAAAGAGGCGGGATGGGCTGGGGGCAGTGGATCAAGCCTGTAATCCCAGCACTTTGGGAGGCAGAGGCAAGAGGACTGTCTGAACCCAGGGCTTCGAGACCAGTCTGGGCAACTTGGCGAGACCTGGTCTCTACAAAAAAATCAAAAAAATTTAGCCAGGCGTGGTGGCTCACGCCTGTAGTTTCAGCTACTTGGAAGGCTGAAGCGGAAGGATCACCTGAGCCCAGCAGGCCGAGACTACGATGGCCGTGACTGTGCCACTGCACTCCAGCCTGGGCAACAGAGTGAGACGCCAACTCAAAAAAAAAAAAAAAAGAGGTGGGACTTAGTACTGAAGATAGCCAGGAAGCCAGGACTAGAATGGCCAGGCATCCTGGAGAGAAAAGAAACAAAGAGGAAAAGAATACAATTGTTGCATGCAAGGAATATCCAGGAATCTAGTCTGTTGGGAGCAGATGGTACAAGAGAGATGATACTGGCTAGGGCACTGACATGCAGGGAGAGTTAGTTGGATTTTAGTTATTTAAGACCTAATGGAAGCCGGGCTACGTGGCTCAGCCTGTAATCCCACGCCTTTGGGAGGCTGAGGTGAGTGGATTGCCTGAGCCCATAGGTTCGAGACCCGCCTGGGCAGCGAGACCTCATCTCTACAATAAATCAAAAAATCAGCCGGGCGTGGTAGCGCGTGCCTGTAATTCCAGCTACTCGGAAGGCTGAGGCGGAAGGATTGCCGGAGCCCAGCAGGCGCGGCTGTGGTGGCCGGGAGCGGCCACTGCACTCCAGTCTGGGCGACCAAGTGAGACTCCAACTCAAAAAAAATAAATAAATAAATAAAAAAGATAAGACCTAATGGAGAGCGACTGTAGGTTCTGAAGAATGGAAGTGGAAGTGGGACCGTTGTACCACAGGGGAATGACTACAGGCTCCAGCCATGTGGCCCAGAATTGAGGTAACTTAGTACATGAACTGAAAAAGGACAAACCTAAAAAAATATTTTGAAAGAAGAAAGATTGTTCCAATTGTGGCTGGAAATGGTCTGGTGTTCAAGTATGGGTTTTAGGATTAAACATTCATCAGCATGCAGAGATTTCAAGTTAAGTGAGTCACAGTAAGGTGAGGGTCCATAAGTTAGCCTCAGAAGATGCTGAAAATACTTGTGATACATGGAGTTAATCTTGTTGTGATAAACACACATAGGTAGCAGGAATAGTTTACTGAAATGGGGCTTGCTAGTTTCCTATCTAACTCTTCCCCATAAGCATATAACTGTTTTCAGTTTATTATTTGTTTTTAATTGGAGTCTCACTCTGTTCCCCAGGCTGGAGTACAGTGGCACATTCATGGCCGCCGCAGCCTTCACCTGCTGGACTCAGGCGATCCTTCTGCTCCAGCCTTCCAAGTAGCTAGAACCACAGGCATGCACCACTGTGTCTAGTTAATTTTTTGATTTATTGTAGAGACAAGGTCTCATCATGTTGCCCAGGCTGGTCTCGAACCTCTGAGTTCAGGCAATCCTCTTGCCTATGTCTCCCAAAGTACTAGGATTACAGGTGTGAGCCACTGCACCTAGCCTTCTTTTTTTTTTTGTTGAAGTCTCACTCTACCACCCAGGCTGGAGTGCAGTGGCCTGACCATGAATCACCTCCACAGCCTTGATCTCCTGGGCTCAGGCAATCCATCACAGCCTCTTGAGTAGCTAGGACTACAGGTACATGCCACCACATGTAGTTATTTATTTACTGATTTTTTGTAGAGACATGGTTTCACTATATTTCCTATGGAAACAGTACAGACTTAAGAGTGAGATTTGGTTTGAGGTCTAGATGTGACTTTTTGGGAAAGTTATATAACATTTTGAGCTTCCATTTCTTTCTCCATCCTTCCTTTCCTCTTCCCTCCCTCCCTTTCCTTCCCCTTCCCTTCTTTTCTTCCCTTTCCTTCCTTCCCTTGTCTCAAACTCCTGGCCTCAAGTGATCCTCCCACCTCTACCACCCAAAGTGTTGGGATTACAGACATGAGCCACTGTGACCAGCTCAGTGACTTTAAAAAAAAAAATAAGGTGCCACTTTCACATCAACTATCTACTTGACAGCTCCACCTAGATGATTCCTTGGCATCTCAGAAATGTCATTTCCAAAACTAAACTCGATTTCTTCCTTTCAAAATCTACTCCTCTCCATCCCACTAAATGGCAACTCCATTCTTTTAGTTGCTTAGACCTTTAAAAATCTTGGAAATCCTAGGTACATACCCCATATCCAATCAATCAGCAACTCCTGCTGGCCACATTCTGCCAAATTCTCCCCGCTTTTCTGCTCATCTAGTCGGAGCCACTATCATTTCATGCCTGGACTACAGCAACAGCCTCCTACTGGTCTCCTCAGACCACACAGCAACCTTTAAAAACTTTATGTTCGATCATAATAGTCCTGTGTTAAATCCTCTGTGTCTTCTTCTTCAGAACAACCCAAAGCTATACAACAATGGCAGACAAAATACAGAGCACATGATTTGATCATCAACTCTCAGTCCTCATCTGTTACTGTTTCCCTCACTCCATTCCAGCCACATTGGCCTCGTTGCTGTTCCTCAAACATATCACTCTTGCTTCTAGGTTTTTGCACTTCTGAGCTCCTTTTTCTGGCAGGCTCTTTCTCCCACCAGAAAATAGCAAGGCTTTCTCTTTTAGAACATTCAGATCTCTACTTAGTGATCTTCTTGACCAACTTTAACGAAAACAAAACCCCCTTCCAGGACTGCATATTAACTTACCCTATTTGCTTTCTTCATAGCACTTGTCGCTAGCTGACATTCCATATTTATTTTCTCTGCTTACATCTCCCCAAAATGTTTTACCAGAACAGAAGTTACATTCTGCTCACTCTCTTACATTCTGTTTGGCACATAAAAATTGCTCAATAAATTGTTGCTGAATGACATTATTTTTGATAGACTGCAATATGTTCTTATATCTCTCTACTCTCTTTACGCAACTTGATGTGCTGTTCCTGCCAAATGAGACAATCAAAATGGGAAAATAATTATCTGCTCAACTGTGAAAAAATGGTACAATAGAAAGCACACTCTCATGTGGGGGAATGGACGGGAGCACTGCACCACACTACCATAGCTCGTCTGATGCTTCATTTTTTGCTCACGTTAAGACTTCAAGAGGACACGGTCCACTAAGAAACGCCGAGCAAGACAGTACTTTACCTGTGCAATGGGAACCGCGCACAGGGTGACACCAAATCCAAGTGCCACCGTTTTGTGCCATGGTCGTATCAGCTCTGAGAAACAGCGCTTCCTAAAGTGAGCCACGACAGGGACACACTGTCTGTACCTAGGAGAGCCAGAATTAGTAAGGCGCGACCTCCAGTCTGTTACCGGCGCTCGGATTTGTGTGCAGGGGTTGGAACAAACTCGGACCAAGCAGGACCCTAAGTGAGGATGCAGGGCAGCCTTCCGGGTGACAGGGCACGGACGAGGGCGTGGAGGCCCGGAAAGCCACCCGACCCGCTGGGAGGCGCAGCGCCACGAGCCCAGCTAAGTGTCGCCGAGCGGAGAGCGGACTGGGGGCTTTTGGAGTTTTCAGCAGACATCAGGAAGCTGAAAGCGCTGCTGCATAGGTTTTTAGGAACGTAATGCCGAAATACACGCTTCCGCAGGGAAGAGTTAGATGCGGACCCAGGCCGGGGTTTCGGTGTGTCTGACGGTCCCCGCCAGAAACGCCCCGGGGCCGGCAGCGCCAGGAGGGGAACATCTGCGTCGAGGTTCCCCTCCGACAGTTCCCGGGGCCTCTCCCCATGCCGTGTCCCTTCTCCTCTCCCCTCGACTCTCCTCAGGGACTTCAGGGGGCTGACTCGGGAGAATCGTTCTTGGGAAACGGAGTTACTGAAGGAACCTGGGTCTAGACCGAGGGGGGCGGAGCCGCCTTCGGACTTCCCCTACGCGGGCGAGACGCCACGGCCCGACGAGGCAAGAACGCGCCAGCCAGGCGGGCGAGGCGGACCGGGCCGCAGCGTTCTCCGCGTAGGTCCCTCCCTCCGGGCCTGCCCCGCTACGCGGCCGCAGCGGTACCTGAAGAGGGAGGCTACGCCCCGCGACAGCCAACTCCTCAAAGCCGCCATCCCACGGCGGGCAGACGCC